AAAAAAATTACCAGGTGGCCTCAAACTTTTGAATATATATATATATATATATATATATATATATATATATATATATATTTATGTGTGTGTATATACATATATATATAAAATATATATATATATATATATATATATATATATATATATATATATATATATATATATATATATATATGCATTTTATTTCTCATTGGTAGTATGACTCAGAGTTTCATGTACAATGCAGTCTTCAGGTGCTAGATAGAGGCTGGTAGAGACTACATGTTTAATGTAACGGTCAATTTTTTTATGATTGATTATATTTTGCATGAAACTTTGTGTAATGCTACCAGTAAAAATAATATGAATATTTATTAATATATACTTAATAGGTCTGTTAATTAATAAATAAATAAATAAAATATATATATATATATATATATATATATATATATATATATATATATATTAATAAATATACATATACCTACGATTTTTGGGTGCAAAGGTTTTGTTGTTGATAACCAACTCATCAGGCACAAGAAATAACTTACGATTTTTAAAAAAAAATCATTATTTCTTGTGCCTGATGAGTTGGTAAAAATAAAACTTAAGACACACTCCGAATGTAAATATATGTATATTTATTATAATATGTATTTTTTAGTTCTGTCTAACCACATCAAGCAATGTTATGTTTAAACCTTAAAGTAAATTTGTTAAATATTTATTTGCTGACCTGTGTATGCACCCTTACACACACATATACAGTTACTAAGATCTAGTTATTTGATTTACCCTCTGAGATATATATATATATATATATATATATATATATATATATATATATATATATATATTATGTTCTTATTTTCATGAATCTAACATGTTTCACAAGTAGTTATTTACATTCATCAGTGCTTTTTCAGAAATGCAATATCATGGAATTGTTTCGAATTCTAAGTTTTCTTTTCTTCAGTTGTCTAGACTCAATAAATCAGGTTATTATAATTTAAAGCCATATTAAGAAAGGGTTATATTTTAACTGTTTGATAAATATGGGATATGTTGAAAATGGATGTGTAATACTAGATTATATCATCTTTGAATGTTTCCACTATTACATTGTTTAAGTTTTGCTTTTACGAATATTAGCAATATAAAAATGAATGCCTGATGTATATACACTAATTGTAATAGTGCGTTTCAACTGCATGATTAATCGATTGATTGAGTCAGCTTTTAGGGATTATCAACTCATTACAGGTTATTTAAAGGCAGAATTTTTTTTTTAGATTCTAAGAATTGGGAGATAGTAATGATTTAGGGATACACATCCTACTAATTAATCCAGAGCTAGCCTGAGAAGAGGTGGGTCCATACCTAATCAATATTTGATAAACAAATAAGAAATTTAATGTGGGTAGAAAATGGAGGATCAATTCTACATGACAATCAGTGAATATAATGAACCAGACAGAAATTGGAACTCTGCTCTCTGATTATCAATTCTGAGCCACTATCCTTTAGAACACCTGTACATCAAGGCATGCAGCACATGGTATTCCCAAGGAGTCACACATCTAGGTACTGGCCAGTATTGATATTGATTAACTTCATTGATCATACTTTAATTGCATGGTAAATAGGACAAATGTTAGAAGTGAATTTGTATTATTAGTTTTTCTTTTTATTATTAATTCTTTATTATGGTTTTCCTAATAAAAGGCCCAAGAGCCACTCAAAGCAGAGGGTTATTGATTAATGTTGTTGACTGAGCATAAAAGGATGAGATAAGAAGTGTAGTAAAACCCTACACTTGAAGATGTTAAAATCGTAATGATCAGGGAAGTATCCTCTTGGGAGTGTTTCATAAAGTTCTTGTTCTTGGGAAGAAGCTGTCCAAATGAAAGTTCTTTCTTATCAACAGAATATGAAAAGAACAGGGATAATCCCTCCCAGTGAACATGGTATGGTGGGCCTTAGCTGCAAAGGTCAGAACTGGCTGAAATATGATAGGTATATATATATTTATATATATATATATATATATATATATGTATGCATGTATATATATATATATATGTGTGTGTGTGTGTGTGTGTATATGTGTCTATACATATATATATATATATATATATATATATATATATATATTATATCTTTTAATTTCCTTGAGGAACAGAGGGATGCAGGCTACCACTGTGACAAGCCAGTTTTTAAGTGAATAGGTTGTTTTTTTACTGCACAACCCCCAACCTGGAGGATCAGGTTTTAAATTCAGAGTTGGCCTTCTCCTAGACCAGTTGCCACTCAAGGCTATAGAACTCAGTCTGCTTTGCTATTTACCTGTAGCATGAGGGAGACAAAGAGAATTCATACTTTTCCCAAGGGTATTAGTACATAAGAACTATGATAGGTAGCTTGTCAAAACATTTGCCCTGGAAATGTTTCCATCTTACATTAATTAACTATGAGTTTTAAAAATAAGGGCAGATTAAAAATTGGTTATATTAGTGTATTTTAATTGCATCATGATGGCTGCAGAAAGTTCATGTGTAATACTAGATTAAATAGTATGAAAATGTTTGGCTCTTACATTGTTCAAGTTTTGCTTTTACAAATATTGGTGATATAAAAAAATAGTCTGGCAAGTATTGTTTATTTATTAATATCCTTTCTAGGGGTTTTCTCTATAATGGGTTGGGTCCTTTTTAATAAAGCAAGGTAGTATTTTTGAAATTAAAGTTTTCACCTGTTTGATTTTGTCATGTAACTAAGGAGTTTAATGATTTATTGAGTTCTATGTTTTGAATTCATGAATTAATACGAAACAAAGTGATGTGTATATATACATATATATATATATATATATATATATATATATATATATATATATATACAAACACTATGTAATGAACATGTAGTGTCTATTCAACCAATGAAAATAAAAGAACATGTAATCTAAAAATTGAAACATCCACATATAAAATACTTGGTCAAAATTTCTGACAAATTTGAAACATATTAGATTTATAAAGGTTTTCTCCTAACTTAATAATATATATATATATATATATATATATATATATATATATATATATATATATATATATATATACACACACACAAATAAATATATGTATGTATGTGTGTGTGTGTGTATAAACATGATAGTCGGACAGTGAAAAAAAGCTGTCACATTATGTCCACATTATGTTTTTCAGATACTGTTTGACATCCTACTACACACACACACATATATGTGTGTGCATGTGTGTGTGTGTGTGTGTGATATATATATATATATATATATATATATATATATATATATATTGATCTGTATGCCAATATATGTAGGTATACATGTACATATCATACCCAGTTTAGTCTATGGTTATATGAAAGGTTTTGTATTTTTTTTATTATTATTAAATCATTGGGTTGATTACTGAGAATCTTTGATTAATAAAACATGGCATTAGTGAAATTTATGTCTTTTTTTCTTTTCTTTCAAATGTTTAACTTCATATCTCCCAAGAAGATTTAACAAAACCTAAAATTATATATATATATATATATATATATATATATATATTATTATTCTTTTATGTTTAGTTTTGTTTCTTTATATTTGCAGAAAGAAAATTTTATATTGTTTGTTTGTGCTTTTACAAATAATCATTTTAGTTTTATCATTTTTCATTCAAAACAGAAAGAAAGAAAAAAAGAACGAAAAAAATTGCCAACAGAAAAATGAAAATGAAATTTTTAGTTCGTGACATGGAACTTTTCCCTTTCTTTCTTGCATTTTGACATTTTGGTAAATCAAATCTTTCTGTCCGTGTTCAGGGAAAAAGAAATTAAATGAGTTTTCTTTCTGTTTTCTTTTTTCCCTATCCTCAAAAAGAAAAAAAATGCTGCTTATTTGACTATATCACTAAATTCATTCATACTTTACCAAGACACAGTTAGTTTTCTTCCAACAAAAACCATTTATCGCTTTTTTCGAATGGTTTTCTTCTTTTCTAATCACAACATTTTAGCATACGTTTCAACAAATACATATGCAACAGAATTCCGCCAGCCGAAACTCAATAAGAATGCAGGGATTGCAAATATGTAAGAATGCGAGTCCCTCTTAATGTTCACAGGAATTCTTTTCTCATACCTTGAAAATCCAAACAACGAAGATCAGAGGTGAAAGGTCAATACAATTATGAGCAGATATCAAATTCTGGAGATTGTTTCCCAAAAAAAAAAAAAAAAAGTCACCAACTGTAAACTAAAAAAGCAAAATGCTCCTGATATATATGTATAGAGAGAGACGTCCTTACCTTATCGTTTGAATTTTATATATTATAGGTCATCAATTCGGAAAGTTTTATTGTTGGTCATTACAGGTTTTTGTTTTTCACAAATGTATTTTGTCTGATTTTTACCTAGACGTGCCAGTATAATTCTCAGAACATGTTCCGGATGCCCACTCATAGGCTTAAACGTCAAACCTTTTAGGGGATCAATGCATTTCTCGGAGAAACTCTTGCATGAGTTTATGTTATCGGTATTTGAAATCTCATAACTTGCAAGACATTGGTAAGTACACCTCTATAATATACATCAGTATATTATTCACAGTTAATGATTTCGGGGAGAAACAGACATTTTTTTTAACCCTCATACAAAGAAAAAAACGCTCTACAAGAAATGTATAAAAGTCTGAATAAAATTTTCATGGTCCAGTAGATTTTCACATCTCAAAAAATACAAACAGTTTTATATAAGTCAATTTCTTCCTTTCTCTGTTTCGTACCTTCTTGTTTTCTTTCAATGTCGACATTTCTTTTTTTTTCTTTTCTTTCATTTAATTTTCTTTTTGATTTGCTTCGTGTTTTTGTTAGATGTTTGTCATGGTTATAGCACCATTTTAAAAAAAAAATAAAACAAAAAAAAAACCTGAAAAAAAATGCCGAAGGAAGAAATTGTGTAACAAGGACAATACGGAAAACCTTCTGCTAGTCTCAAGAGCTCGCTTGGATTGGATATGATTCTGGTTTGGGCTGGAAGTACGTCTGGTCCGAGTACTTTTCGACACCGACTTCCTCCAGAACTGGAGCACTGGGTGAGGGTCCACGGTACTCACTGGCAACCCCAGCTGGATTTGATGAGAGCACAGTCGTTTGTGGTGGATGCAGTTCACCTTCAGAATCCAGTAACCGGTTCATGGTCTCTGTTTTCTCTGACCGTTCCTCGTCAATGTAGCGACGCTTATTTACAATGCAGGGAAACACATTCCGAAGAAGGGCACACATTGTGGAAGGCTTCTGTTTCTGCAAGCTGTCACCTTTGTCAGACATTTTATCTGGAATCTCAATTGTTTCACCTGAAATTATTAATTAGAGGAAGAGAATATTAAACTGTGTTTATTTCATGTCAACATTTAATGTTTGTTAATGGATTTAGTATTTTAAAATCCAACATGTTTTTATTACTTCAATTGTCATTTTTAATGGATACCTATATTTGAGTAGAGAATTTGTTGCTATGAATAATCAAGAGTGGTCTCCACTTGTTTCATTACTCTCCTCTTTGAGAGAGCTATTTCTGCTTACTGGGACTATAAAAGGACACTATACGTGAACGTTGTATTCTCATTTGAATAAAGCTTGCTTAAAGCCTACACCCGCATACTTCTGTCATTACACATTATGAATGATTTTACTATGAAAATGCATTGCAAATGATTTTACTATGAAAATCCATTGCAAACGAGTTTGCTATGAAAATGCACTGGAAATGATTTTACTATGAAAATGCATTGCCAATGATTTTACTATGGAAATGCATTGTGAATGATTTTACTGTGTAAATACATTGTGTTATGAATAATAAAGAGTGGTCTCTCCTTGTTTCGTTACTCTCCTCTTTGAGAGAACTATTTCTGTTTACTGGGACTATAAAAGGACACTATACTCGAACCTTGTATTCTCTGTTGAATAAAGCTTTATTAAAGACTATACCTGTGTACTTTGTCATTACATTTGTTTTCTTTTTAAACAGTATTTAATTTGTTTACCAGCATGCACAATCCAGAAAACTTATTAAGGAAAATATGCCCTCCCACTCCCTAGACGAGGACAACAGAACAAGAATATTCTAAACAATTACTGGAATTCTTGTTTCTGCAGAGACTGAATCCTAGACTGTACTATCCAACGTAGGGTTTGAACTCACAATTACTATGTTGCCAAATTGATGAACCAAGGTTATAATTAAATTAGCTATTTTCTTGTGGGACAAGCCTGAACCTAGAATGTGAGTCCTTAAACACAATTCTGTTCTTGCCTGCCTGCTGCTAATGCTGCTGCTGCTCCCATGCTTGACTGCATTCACTGCCACTTCCATTTTTATTGCTTCTGCTGCTGAAGCTTTACTGCTATTTCTCTTTTTTTTTAAAAGGTCAGTGCGCACGATGGCTGAAACGTTGTGTTGACAACAAAGTTGAAGACGTTATTCCAACTGTAATTAATGTAGCAACAAAAGTAACAAGATTTGAACTGTATCTACATTTGCAGGCGAAACCACCTTCTGATCATGTGTGCTTTAACCACTCCGCCACATGGAAAAGTAATTGTGGAGGCATGGTGGAATAACAGGTAGCAGCTTGGATTGAGAAACTGGAGAGCCGTGTTCAAATTCCAGTTGGATCCATTACATTATGCGCTAATATGTATTGAATAGGTATGAATCCTCTTCTCCTCCCCCCACCCCCAGCTATGGGTAAACAGCAGGACAGAGTGGGTTCTATAGCCTTGGATGGCAACTGAATTCAAACTGGCCTGGAGAGGGTTGGGCTTCATCACGCTATCTTGCTGAAGACACACCCACTTCTACAGCAGCTGCTGTACATGTGGTGCCCGTATGACCCTGATGGCTCACAGGATTCATGATCATGATTGTGATTTTGGTCACAGGATCAAAGTTTGAGCTTGATCACACCAGCTTTCTTACAGCTGTGACAGTGTAAACATAGCCACTTCGCTAGCAGTGTTCACCAACAAAGAGGAGCAAAGACCTGTGAGCTGAATATGCAAAGAACATGCTACCTTATTGATAATAACTCACCAGTTCAGCATTACCATTTTGAAATAACTACACATGACCATAGTTTATTCTAATATAATAATATAATAGAATAATAATATATTACTACAATAATATATAATAATAATATAATAATAATAATATAATAATATAATAATATATAATAATAATGATAATGGTATAAAAATATAATAATAATATAATAATATATAATATGATAATAATATAATAATATAATGATATAATAATAATGATAATATAATAATAATATAATAATATATAATAATAATGATAATAGTATAATAATATAATAATAATATAATAATATATAATAGTATGATAATAATATAATAATAATATAATGATATAATAATAATGATAATAAAATAATAATAATAATAATAATAATAATAATAATACCACCCAGACCCGGTTACGGAGATAGGACCTGTTACAATTCTATGGGACTACACAATACACACTGACAGAACAATCAAGGCCAACCGGCCAGATATTGTTATTAAAGACCACAAACAAAAACGGTGCCTCCTTATTGACATGGCAGTCCCTGCTGACTGCAATGTATCTTTAAAGATATTCAAAAAGTTGTCAAAGTTCAAGGACCTTGAAATAGAAATCTCGAAAATGTGGCATATGGGAACATCAACAATCCCTGTTGTAGTTGGAGCCCGAGGACTGGTTGGAAAAGATTCCAGTAGACTAATTGAACGGATTCCTGGAAGTCCATGCCTCAAGGAGATACAGAAAATTGTTCTGACAAGTACAGCCCACACCTTACGAAGGGCTTTATCTATGTAATCATTTTTTTTTTTTTTTTTTTGTCAGTGGAAAGTGTCATGACGCCATTTTTAACCTTAGGTCCCTGGGCCGGACCCGGAAAGAAATGTGTAAACGCCAGAAATCAAAGAAAATAAAAACAATAATAATAATATGATAATGGTTTCTTTTCTCATATTTTTTATCTGTAAAACTCTCTTGTGGTTTCTCCAAATTATCTGCTCTTCAATCAACCCCCTCCCTTGTTTCCTGTTTAGGAAATGGGTTTCAATTTCCTCCTAAAGTGTACTTCTAACATCTTTGCCTAAAACTCCAAAGCATTACAAGGAAATGACCACTCTTTCAGCATTGTTAGAGATGGTCCAAATATACAAGTTCCATATGAGGTGTGGAGTGAGCTTTAGATCTGATAGACATTAAGCCAACCTTTTATTCAATTCACAAGGATAAATTGTTTTTACTCAGTACCAATATGTGTTATAACCTACCAAAATTTACAGATAATTGGTAACCTTCCAAGAATTTCAAACCAAAAGTTTTACTTTAACAATTCGTTTTGTTAAATTCTTCTCTGTTCCAATTCAGAAGCCAGAAGTTTATCATATATCAATTATTTCTATTTAATTTGTCCTTGTGATATTGTCTTGATTCTTTGCTAAACCAAAATACAGTGGGAATGTACTTTATATATGCACTAGTTCCATCAAAAAGACAAGTGGCATTAGAAGATGTACACCCATGTGCAAATTAACTGAAACAATCAATTTAGTTTCCTTTCTTTCATCATACAATCTATTTTTTCCTCAGATTAGGTCATTTGCAGTGGTGAGCAGTAATACAAATCTATAGGGTGTATCATGCAATTTGTTTGACCTTGAAAAATATTGCATCATCTGTGACTGCATCAGATTTTTATCATGCTCAGACACTATTGTCTTGACTGTCAATTAGTTGTCCATCTGTGATGGATGTTACTCCAAGGAAGTGTACAAAAAATTGTAACACTGCATGAACACACTGGCAAGATGTGAGCAAATCAAAGTGCTATAGACTGGCCTGGGAAATTCTCCTGATTTAAATCCAGTCAAGAATCTATGGTCAATCTGTAAGGAACGACTTTGTGGAATTGATCTACAAAGTACTAACATGTATGCTGGCTCATGTTTTATTGGAAAAATATGAAAAAGTAAATAATAATGGAATTATTCATTTGTTTCAATTAATTTGCAAAAGGGTGTACAAATTAGGAAAAAAATTAAACGATACTGGCATTTCCTTGTTGAGCTCTGACAATGATAAGTAGTTGATCTTCTGGCTGGGCAATCATTCTTTTACATATTCAACATCAAAAATACATAATCACACATATACATAAATCACAGGACCTGATAACATATTTTGTTCTCATTGGACCACAGATGCATTTCATTGACATTTGCTAACATGAACATTGGAGCTTCAAGAATACTGTTGAAAATACTAAATCGCCAAGGATTTTTTTAAAATACTTATAAATATTTTTAAAAATATTTTCCTTGAATATGCACCATATCAATTTCCATTAGAGGTTGTGTTAAAGAAGAACTTATAGCAACATTTCTGCTTGAATTTCTGGAATGAGGTGTTATTGTTTTTACATTTGAAATAATGCCCTCATCTTTGTTGCTATTATTGCAACAATTCAGGCAAATTGATGTCAAGTTGAGTTAGAAATCATGAATCAGTGGGTAGAGCCTTGCAATACATAATTGTTGCAACAATTCAGTTATCATATCAATGTTGAAATCTGCTCATAAATTCATTCCATCCAGTATTGCATCAAATACATATCAAAGTGGTCAGAACAACCTTTTTTTGCATAAACCCCCCACTGAAATTTTTTTCCCTTTGATTTAAATTAAATTTAAATTTGAACAAGGGAATGACTCCTATCGAAAATATAGAAGGAGAAAGCCAGAAGATGGAGGTCACATTCTCATGATCAAAACAAGACAATGTGATCGTCAATTTGAGCAAAAAATCACTTATCAGTGGGTAAAGCCTTACAATACATATTTCTTGCCACAGTCCAGTTGTCATATCAATGTTGAAATGTGCTCATCAATTCATTCAATCAAGTATTTCTTCAAGTACATATCAAATACATTTTTTCACGTTTGTTAATAAGGCCATTTTAGTGATGGAATCATAAGCCAATGGATTGCAGTAGGTGTGCAAGTTGTTTTTGCCCAAATCCCCAACTAAAAATGTTTTTCCCTTTGATTTAAATTAAATTCAAATTTGAAAAAAGGGAATGACACCTATCAAAAAAGATAGAAGGAGAAAACCAGAAGATGGAGGTCACATTAGCGAGATCATCTTTGTTGCTATTATGACAATATTTCAGCCATTATATCGTTTGGGCTTCTTTAGGGATCTGTCAATACTGGTAAAATTCAAGAAATTTTAACTGTAACAGCCACACGAGATAAAAGGTCATGG